GGGTCAAATAGGGGCCATTTTTCAGGAATGTCTTCGTTAATCTCTGACTTTCTTATGTTCATTTTCTCTAATTGCTACATTTATCAGTAACATCATATGAATGATAAGCATGGAGTTCCATTGCTTACCTTAAACATCAATCTATATATATGTTGTATTATGGTCTTTCCCCCCCATTGAATCTATTTTGAATCTAACTATTTTGTATGTCCTGTATATTACGTCTTTTTATATCATGATATTTAACACTTATAGCATAAATGATTTGAATAATTTTAAGTTTAACGTAAGTGTGCTAAATTGGTCGAACCTCGAAAGATCTTATTAGTTTAAGAGCTGAAAACCTTCTAGCGAGCACAACCACATCAACAGAATTAGTTATCCGCGGATCTGCCATATGTAGAATCTGGTCTCCAGTTTTTATTGTGAGTTCAAGGCGACAAGAATATTGCATAACGTGCTCTATCGTTAGGTTGATTCCTTTGTATGATTTGGTAACGTAATGCCAACTCCACTCCACGAAACGATAACAAATTAATTTGCTAGAGCCACGTTCTCTTGTGGGCCTCATTTCATAAATAAACTTTTCAACATAAACTCCGAAACTAATGTAGACATAGCTTCTAAGATAACATTTTAACAGAAGTTACGAGACTAATGGTACTATGCCTAACTTCGCTTAAATCAACAAACAAACATGACAACTGATCGAATAACTGAATAGCAGAATAGACACTCACTTTTTAACATTGAACAACTTTTCTTACACTAAAAGTACCCAACCATCACTGATTACTTATATCTACATATTACATGAAACTTCTTTATTCGTAACTTTCATGAACCTTTTATATCTTAAAGTCATATGCCCTTTAGCAAACATCTAAAGTAAAACTCTGCTCCATTTCTGGATTATTAATTATTTTGAACATTCCTAATACGTAAATACAAGAGTACACTAAACCGTTCATCCACCAAGTCTTTTTTTGGTAGTTTTCTTTTACGAGGGTTATAGAATACAGATGAGGTGGTCTCTTATCCCTTGTTGTCATTTGTTGTCCTGTCATTGGGGGAGTTCTCCTAGGATAGGTGGCCAAATGAATCCACTGATGGCTCTTGGTGATTTTCTGAAAGTGGTCTTAACAGGAAGCTTGGACTCTTCTGTAGTTTGATATTCTGCATGAAAATTATTCTCTGAAACTATCTAGTTATCCATTCTCTCACTAACAAACTTTCGAAGACGATCATGGATGACCTTTAGTTTGGACTGCTTTTCTTTCTGTGCACTGTAAACCACATCATTGATATTTTAAGTACAACATATGGCTCTTCATAACACCTGTTTAACTTTGAAGTTCATCCTTTCTTGCAGTGGGAATTGTACAATGTACAGCCTTATCATGTTATCTCGATGGAGTCCAGTCTTACCAACATTAACATCATAGCAACTTTTTCTTCTACTCGTGTATGACATCAGTAGTGCCCCTTAGTCTCTCTGCATATTCAGGTTAAGATCCCCCCTCCCCCCTAAGTGACATTCTCTAGATGTGAGTACAATTGGTCTAATGACGTTTTATGTTCTCTAGAAAACATCAGTGATGATGGTGTGGTACCTATAGTTTCATGTACTGCTGTTCGGTAACTCATAAGTAGTAGCTGAAGATCGATCTTGATCTCAGATTTTCTGATGTTCATCCACATAAATGGATAATTTTTAAAAGTGTATGGTTGTATATCTGCACCATGCCGTCAGATGATGAACAAAAGGATGTTGTTCTGGTCTTTCTGATTCAAACTTTCAGCCCAGGTTTGAGTGAAGTTCCGTAGGCATCCCAAATCTTCAAGCGAATTAATTGACGAGTTTCCTTGCTAGTTTGTGCTTCCTGATTAGGAACAGCATATGTATTTATTTGCATTGTTACTCTGTGACGGAGGATCAAGCACATTGAAAACAACTTTCTCAAGTGGTCATCCGACATGGTACTACTATAGCTGCCTATGCTGTTTTTTTTTTTTTTACTTATTGTTTCCAATGTCTTCAGAAGATGCTCGATCAGTAGTTGAAATATTGTAGGTGCATTATATAACCCAATAATGAATTGTTTCCAAACTCATTTCTTTTGCCTGACCATCTCTTAGTTGAGTATTGGATCACATTAGCTCTTCATCTTAACTTGTGGATGTACCATCTTCGACTATACTTTGTTGTTCTTTAGTTTGACCATCTTCATTATCTCGTTCTCTCCTCTTTTCATGGTATTTACATTCTTTATTAGCACGTAGTATTTGGGACAATGTCCAAGACTTTTCATAGTTTCATTCAGGGCAATGCATAATGGTAAAGCTGTATTCCTGATATTTCAGGAGCCTTCTTGTTATCTGGTGTTCTGGATTACACAGATTCATCATTAATAATCCAAATGGTAACACAGTAAATCATTAAAATCCATTTCTTGCAGTAAAGACTGTATTTTCTCTATTTGCTTCGTCGACTTTCACTTGCAAAATACACTTTTAACATTCAATATTGAGAACTATTTTGGTCCAGACAGAGCATGCAAAGTAGAGTCAAATATTGTTAGTGGGTAAATACCCTTCTTCATGACTTCATTCACCGTCAGGTAGTCCTTACATACCCTTGTGGATACATTCTTCTTATTCACAAATATAATAGGTGATGCTTCAGCCTGTTTTATAACTTAGGTTCATCTGGGCAACTAACATATCCAGTATCATTAGTATCGGTTTTATGAAATTTTGCATTTGTTTGGCCTAAATCATGAGAGCTACTGGAGAAGATATCTTGATATTCCATGAATGAATCATGTAATCTATAGCAATAATCATCTGTAAGGCCTCCATAGCTCTGGTTTTACAGTTCTTGTAAGTGGGGTATAAGCTGTCCTTATTTGAAAATTTTATATCAGACTTTTTACACGAGATTATTTCTGATGTTCTCTGGTGTAAAAGTACTACCTGTGTAGCTTTACACCTTGTTTCCCATCCAAACTTGACTCGAATGTTATGGCTCATTATGTTCATTGCCCTAATTATGACATCTTTATTCTTCAGATTCATGAGAGTTATTTCAACTATTAATCCCTGAGGACATTCTGGAGCGTTGGGGTCTACTATATCCCAGTCACTAGATATAAATTCATTCCTAATAAGTCCTGATATGAGTATTTCCCATTTTGATGAAACAATAACTGCTTTCCTTGTTATCACTGATAGTTCAGCCTCTGATGTAAGAATGGTCATATAGTGCATAGAGCTTTCTTGGTCATAAACTGTGAAGCTATTTGAAATTAGCCTAACCTCATAATTTGCATGAAGTTAATTCCCAATATTCAGTTTTCCTCTATGTCAATTATCCATACATCATGAGGTGTAGAGAAGTTTCCTACATTAAGGGTAGTTTCCAACTTTTCTTTTGTTGATTGCATCAATCCATCTTCTTTTATCCTTGCTGGAACCAATTCCAAACCTTTCATTACCAAGTCAGGTCAAACAATCATAGATGTAAAACTAGTGTCAATCAACATACTGCAAGACTACCTAACAATAAACATATTGACTCGTAGACTTGTTTATTTAAATAGTCAATTTGTTATCTCATCTAGGGTAGATGGAATATTCTCAACTTAGCTTTGCCCCATACATACAATTAATTACTGGTTATCTATTTGTTGTTATTTGGAAGTACGTGAGCACAAAGTCTCATCTTTAGGGTATTGTCTCTTTGGTGTATTAGCAGCTGTTGATTCCTTATACTTTCAGATGCAATGGCTATGTTTCTCATATCTAAAACAGGTCCCCTTTTCTGACATCCTTTGGGAGTAGTTTATATTCCGTACAAAATTCTGTCTGCAATTTCTAGAAGTATGTTCGTTAAAGATACGCTTATAACACCTATTGTATTTTGGTTTATTTTCTCTATTATATGTAACTAGCTATCTGATTAATCTTTTCAGTTCTTCTAGAATATCGTCTGATGATCCCATAACTTCTAGGTGGTGCCTTTAATTGTTTTTCTGTGACTTTAATGGATTCAACTTCAATCCCCAGCTATTCATTTAGAACAGTGGTTACCAACTTTTCCGAACTGAGGACCAGCTAATTCCAATCCCAGAATTTATTGGGCTGCTTTGTACAATATTAACTTTAAAATTACTTTTATATTATATTAAAAATAACATATTTTAGTTGCTATATTTTAAAGCACACATTTTTTCAACTGACTTATGCACTGATTGAAATCTCCCTATAGACTGGTGGTTGAGAACCACTGCTTTAGAGGTGTAAATCTATTTTGTTTCATCCATATTCTCATATTCCCATCTGTTATGGCATCTATTAATTTGTCATGTGCCAACAAATTCTCATTCAACACTGAGCATCCAGGTAAAATAATTGGATGAGCCTTTCTAAATATTCTTGGAATTCTGTTGAGGTCTTTTTTTTTCTTCCATACTCTGCTCGTGAATTTTGCTTTGGATACTTACTTCTGTTGTGTTACTCCAAACCTGTTGTATAAAGCAGCTATTAATGCTTGACAGTTGTCACAGCTCTCAGCTGGAGAGATTAATGTCGTAAAAGCTGCCTTTTATATGGGCATCAAGATGAATAACTTGTTTTTCATTCTTCCACACATTTACACAGAAAATTTATTTCAACTTAGGCCTGGTATGCCTCACACTCTACTTTACATCATAGACTGTTGGTTTTTCAACTGGACAATGTTGTTGAAATGGACAGTTTAATTCTGAAATTGCATATGGTGGTGGTAACATGACTTGAATAGCCTAGGAAGATCCTGCAGTAACAAATGGCACAGCATTAGTGGTAATAGGTATAGACGAAATAAGTTCTCCTATTCTATACTTTGTAGTAAATGGTGTTTTTGGTTGAAATTCCAAGGGAAGTACCAAAAGAGGTGTGGATGGTTTAATCCTTGCATTTACCTATTCGTTTTCCAGATGTTTTATTCTATCACTAACGTTCTTTTCAAATTCACTGATCTCTTTTTGTACTTCTTCAAGTTTGCCATTACACTCTTTCTGTACTTCTTCCATGTTCCGATTGTAATCTCTCTATAATCTTCAATAGCTTCGTCGATATTGTCTTCAATCAGATTTATTTTTGTTCTTGAAATATTTCATCTCTTTTAACTCTTTTCTGTCTCTTTTTTCTTGTTCTTTAAATCTTCTGTTTATTTCTTTTTGACCTTCTTTTAACCGTTTCATCATAACTAGTAAAGTTTCTGTCTCGTTTCGTGATTGGATTGTTATCATCTTGAAGTTGAAATTTAGTTAAAGTTCTGTTTTACTTTCACTCAAATAATTCCGCCATTGACACTAGTATCATGGCATATTCTCTCGCTGGGTGTATTCTTTTGAATTATTTGATAAAAATCGAGTTTACGTGATGATAATTGCTTTTTTATTTCTTGAAGTAAACATTTGCTACAGCCAAGTTCTCTTGTAGACCTAACTTGTAATTTAACATTTCAATGGATATTTCGAGAATAATGGTACATATTTCTAACTTAGCTTTGACCGATAAACAAACACGTAACCCTGCAAGTAACTTAATAGTAGAATAGATGCGATAACTCTCACTACTAGCACTGAATAACCTTTCTGACACTGAATTAACTGAATTCAGTGAATCAGGGAGAGCAGTAGCGATCCCTATTTAGGGATGAGTTCGGTTAAAAATGAAAGCCGGTACATTGAGTATGGTAGCACGTACGCCAGGACGTCGGTAAAACCCAGCCAAAGGGATAGAGACTAAAAACCTTTCACTAATAAAGTATAAAACTGCCTCTAAAGTTCGGCTAACTTTCCTTGACGTCTAGAAAATGGGCAGCAAAAACACACATTTTCTTCTTCTTTCTTCTTTTCCGTCAGCTGTAACTCGTAAACCAGAGTGTGTCTACTTCCAACCTGTACACCAAAACATCTCCCTACTCCATAGGATGTGCCTTTTTATACCTAGAGCAGCAAGTGATCTACGATTGGTTAGTTACAGCCCAAAGTACTAATCACGGTCTCTGATCAGTAGGCCATTATGTGCGTTATATTGAAGTAGATAATCTATCGTATACTCCTTACCGCGCCGCGCAGTATCCTGGTCATGACTTATCTTGCTTGAAGAAGTTATGTCTAGAGATTACACTATGGCTTCCTAGCGAACAGAACTGAATAAGTTGGTGAAATGGTGTCTTCCACCTAGAAGTTACAACCCCACAAGTGCAGAAATTAGTAACAAAAAGTGTTATTGTAAAATTGCCGAGATGTAGAGAAGGAAAAATATATATATGTTGCGTCATCG